CATGAAACATTTTTGATCTGATCAGGCCTTCAATCCGATTATTTGTGTCCATGTAAACGTAGCTAGTAAAAGCTTACACACCGTTCCCAGTCCGACCCTGCTCAGAAACCAGGTCGTCTGCATGTGTGTTGCAGTTAACAGATATACTTCCCCCCCCTCTTCCACAGACACTGCTGCATCTCACCCAAATTGTAGGTGACCGCAGATAGTGCCGCAGACAGGAGGCATCTACACTGTGCATCCCCTGTTTTGTACCTTACCGGTTTGTTTCGTTTGTATTACCGCCATTGTGGAAAATGACTCGTGAAGTTGGACCAGCTAGAAGAGCGAGGTGCGCGAGAACGCTGGGACCCTTTTTCCACCTGGATCCCTGCTCTTTTTTGCCCTCATGTCCCTCTGTTGTAGCACAAACTAGACCCAAAGCTAGTTGGTGATTGTCCGTCTGGCGTTGTTGCGTGAACCACAGACGTGTTCACTTTTATTTCAGCTTAAAGTGCCTTCAGCGAGAGACCTGAGTGTCCAGATTTTTGGTGATGCTGTGCACTGCAAGTCAGCTGGCTCAAAGAAGGCTTTCCATTGGCAATGGGAAAGACAAATCCAACAAATATTTGATACCTGAAATCATACAGTCAATAGCGTTGGAGGTAAGGGTGCCTCCAATAGCCATGTTTTAATACTACTGGCTGAAAGCTACAAGCAGCATGTCTGTAAAGGAGCAGACTGTGTGTTGGCTACCTCAGCAATTGAAGAAATGTATAATACCTAGACAAAAAAGGACTATCCAGTTTGTTCCATCCAATCCAATACCTGGATTGAGCTTAACAGCCAATAACAATTCATCAGAGCTGATATCCAGTCCAAGTATTTGATCCGTGCAGCATTAAATTTAACATCTGTTACCCTTACTTTCTCAGATAATGGATGGACTTTTACACTTCGCTTAAATCCACTCTGCATACATCTAATTTAACCAATAAAGGGAGTAATCAGAGGTATATGTTGTATCGTGATGTCTGTGCAACAGCTATAAAAAGATAAGAGAATGGATTAAAAACTATATCATGTTTGGTAATCAGGGTGGAATCATCGGCAGCTTTGTGCATCTGTTATACAGCAGCAATGGGGAAACGGAGCAGGTCTCTGGCTGCATTGGGGAAGTAGGGAGACGCTGGGGGCA